AAAGCTGTAATCCCTGTTCTTATCAGAGATAATAATAGTAAAACTAATGTGTTTGTGAAATAAGTCTAGTCTTTTTGAATTTGGTATTTTTACATATGACAGGAAAACTAGTTCTGCGTATTCTCAAATAGGACATTTCAATCTGAGTTATTACTATCGCTAAGAGGCTTTGTTGGTACCATAGTCAGCCAAGTTCTCTCAGGCTGTCTGGTAATATGGAATCTCAGAGGAGACTTAAAGTCTCTCTAGGCCAAGATGTCAAGTCAAGGACTTATACATTATGACCTGTTAGAAGGAAAACTGGTTCTTACTGAGCTTCTTTAAATACCTAGTGCTGTGAAAATAGAGTACTCAATAAGAGCTTATGAATTCTGGAGGGTTCAGATAGATTGAAAAAACATGCTTCATATTTGTTTAGGCAAGTTTACTTTTCCAAACTACTGTTAAGGTCTTAAAAGAAAAGAGAATAAAAGGGATCCTTAAATCTGGAAAAAAATTTGAAGAGCTGGAAATAATTTCAAACAAAGTCTTGAATTTTATAATTACCCTGTCAGTTCTTTCAGTCTTGACCTGCTTGCCCAGGGCCTGTGTCTCATGATCTCTCTAGTTTTCCACCAGAGTTCTTGCGATTTTGTAGCATAGGTACTTGTAAAAGCTGTCAGGAAGGCATCAGAGTAAAATAAAAATGTCCATAGATGACTAAAGAGTTAAGCTCGTAGTTAAAGGTTTAATGGGAGTTCATTATAATGTGATTGGTGTAGAACCATGGTTATTTCTGTGACTTGTTTTTTTTAGTCATTTTGGGACAGAGTCTTCCTGCAATCTCAGCTGACTTGGAACTCCTATGTAGACCAGACTGACCTTGATCTCACAAAAATCCACCAGCCTCTGCCTCCCGAGTGAATGCTAAGATCAAACCAAGCCTAGCTCTGTGACAACAGTTAAGATCATTGAAATTATAACTAGTAACATTATACTGGGGTATATCTGATTTCTAAGAATTTCATAAAATTTCTGGATAACTCATCAATATCTCTCATTTGTCTGTCTGTAACACAAACAAACTGAAGTATTGCTTTTATTTTATAAAGATGGTTAAGCATGTTATTTGATAGCAGTTTAAACCATATAATTTAACATATCATATAAGCCTAATTAGTTTCACTTTTACTGGATAATTCTTCCTGTGGAAATAAGCCTAAATATTTCAACATCTGTATTTT